TGTGAACCGGCTCTCATACCTGGAATTGTTTTTTCTTTTTTTTTGTGTTCCAGCACCAGATTGCCACAGCAGGCCAAGGTGCTAAGGGCCTATTTACACACATACATTGCAGTACCGTGAGGAATTTGTGCTTTTTGCTATATGTAACTGCAATGCACAAAAGAAAGTGCAGAGCTTTTTGGTGCCGTTGATTTAAATACCATCCCTTTAAAGTACCCAACCAGCGTAGCACACCTCACTTGTGTTGCAGCTCACTGCGAGGCAGATATGAACCTTCTGTGTTTTGCACTGGGGAGTTCTGCGTTGTAAAAAATGGTGCATGTCCTTTAAAATATACATTGTGATGCGCTGGCAGCCCATTGAAAACAAATGGGCTTCCTGGTTACAACGCACCTTAAAGAAGAACTCCAGTATGTATTCAAATTAACCCTTGCAGTGGGGCTACCCTCGCACTGCAAGGGTTTAGTTCTCATTTTGGTCTAGAAGGAAAAACAAAGAATATAGACTCACCTGATCCTCGGCCCTAGGGCAGTGACGGCTCTCCCTCTCCGTCCTGGCTGTGGAATTTCCTTCAGTGTCCTTATGTCTAATGGACCTGTATTAGGCTTCATTCGCATATAGCGTTTGCGTTTCCTGCGCCGTTTTACGTGCGGAAGACCGCACAGGACGAAAATGCTAAGGCTGGGTTCACACCTGGGCGTTTTTCCGCGCTTTCGTACTCACGGAAAAACGCTCAAACAGGGAAATGCCATTATTTTCAATGTGCATGGTTCCCATCTGGGCGGTTTTCCGTGAGTACGAACGCGTGGGAAACCGCCCTACGCCCAAAGAAGTACATGTACTTCTTTGGGGCGTTTTGGTCGGGCGTTTGCATTGGGATACAGCCAAGTAGCCCTCGGAAACGCGTGTTTTTTGCGCGTTTTTTTTACCGCGCATATTCAATACGCCTAGGTGTGAACCTAGCCTAACATTTTGAATCTGCACAGATTCCGAACATGTGGAATCTGCCATAATATCATGCTTATACTATTTTGCAGCCAGCCGAATACAGGTGGAGCCGAAAACCGTGCGGCCACCGCAAAAGTCTGAACAATGCACATTAATGTGCATTGTTTTTTATGTGCAGAACGGCTCTGTGCGTATGCTGCTGGCCGGATACGCAAGGACAACCGCACCCGTGTGAATGGAGCCTTAGACGTGAGGACATCACAGGTCCTTAGACTGCCGTAGCCTGGGGGAGAGGAGGCTGCAGGGACCGGTCAGGCAGGACCGAGTATCAGGCATGTTCTTTATTTTCATCCCTAGCCCATAACGAGCACTTAACCCTTTCAGTGCGGGTGTAGCCCCACTGCAAGGATTATTTCGAATACATTCTCAAGTTCTTCTTGAATGCATAAAAATACATTACGGCAGCAGATAGGGTACATGAGAGGGGGCTGCAGTGCATGAAGGCGGTTGGTTTGCTGGGAATTTCATGGCAACAGGTTTGCTTTAATGAAGCTCATCAAGTATATCATTATTGCTCTATATCGTGCTAGACGGAAGTCAGCTGTGTGTAGGAGAATATGACGCTCGGTATTCACGCCTGTCTCTCTCAGATGTCTTCAGTTCTGCGAAGCGCAATTTTCCTGCCGCCGTGTATCACCTCCCCCCACGTATGGACCCATTACTGGTCCTAGCATGGCAGAGCTCTGGCAGGGATATGTGTGGGATTCAGTTAGGGTAGCTCAGCACAGTAGGATGGGATTAGGGTGCATTTTGAGAGCCGTGTTTGCAGAATGCTAATGCTGTAAGTAGAGTAGCTGAAAGCTGCAGGGCAGCATTAGGGTGCCCTCGGAAAGCGCATTAGTCGTGTCGGATCCTGCCGATCCGGGAAGAAGAAAGGGTAGTCGGTTAGAAGAGCTTTGGGGAAAGTCGGAGTCAGCCTGACCGCTTGGCGGGGAAAGATTAGATCGCCGAGGAGCACCTGTCAAGGTGTTGAGGCATAGCAAGGAGCTGGCTTCTCCCCAGAGGGAGTGTGACCTAGATAGCAGCATTCTATCTGCTTGTCACCGGGCAGGTTTGATTCATGCCGAGCACTGGGAGGCAGACAGGAGGAAAAATGTTTTGGGAGTTGAGAATGCAAATGAAGCTTTAGTAATGAGAGCTTAGTAACTCCAGCAGAGCTGCATTGTGTAGGATGTTCTCACCTCGCCTGATATTGAAAGGGTGTTTGCAGATAAGAGCAATGGTGATTCAAATGGAAACATTCAAATATCTCAAGGGTATTAACACACTTCAGGAGTATCAAAGTGCTAAAAGCAAATATCTTGCGGTGCTATCGGAGAATATTTCCCGTTCTGAAGGTTTACAGAGAAATCCGGGGAGTGCGTGTACTGTATGTTTGTAGGCCTTTTCCCACAGCCACAGACCACAAGGTTGGGAGTACTTTGATGGGGTTGGATTTTTTTGGCAGATTGTTATTGATTTCATCCAATAGAGACTGGTTTTAAATTAACAAACTCGAGTTAAATTAAATCCTAAAAATGCATTCAAGTACCTTAACTATTAACAAAAGTGCATCTTATTTGTGTATCACTCGGCTGCAGATCCTCAAATCATCTCTGAATTGGTGCTGACACTGTCCTTCCTTCTGGAGAGTGGCTACTTTTGTTCCCCATGGTCCCTGTGTGTGTTGTAAAATAGCCACCGCTCCAAGCTCACTCCTGTTATGGACTACAATGTCACGTTTAGTTACTAGTTTGTATTGAGATTAGAGTCCATCAGGGGAGCGAGCTTGGAGCGGTGGCTACTTTACAACACACAGGGACCATGGGGAACAAAAGTAGCAGCTGATTGGCTGTAGTCACTGTCAGGCCGAGAATTTGCGCACTAACTCCTATGACAACAGTCAATAAAAAAATCGACTTTTGTCAAATGGAGGGGTGCCGATGGGACCAGCTTAAGACCATCATTACCAGTTTTGGACTGTTTGGGCAATGATCATTTTATCTATGGATACAAGTAGGCAGCCCTTTCCTCAGTTATCAGAGTTACAAGGCATCATCCAGTTTGATTTGTTTCCTCAGAGATAAAACTAGCGCCAGCAGTGTCTGCTACCTCTCCGATCAATCTCATTAGCATACACTCTTGGGGAATACAGCTGTGCGTGTTAAAGAGAAGACGTAGTCATATTATTATTATTTTTTTTAAACACACATGAGAATGTGATTAGCTTAAGATTAATTTACATGTACAGTGGCTTGCAAAAGTTTTTTCACCCCCTTGGCATTTTTCCTATTTTGTTGCATTACCACCTGGAACTAAAATTGATTTTTTCATAGCACAGGGGGTGAATATATATGCACGCACCACTTTTCCATTTTTATTTTTTATAATTTTTTAAAAAACTAATTATTTGCTTGGTTTCACTTCACATTTTGGACTATTTTGTGTATGTCCATTACATGTAATCCAAATAAAAAATGTTTTTTAATTCCGAGTGGTGATGCAACAAAATAGAAAACAATGCCGAGGGGGTAAATACAAGCCTCTGTAAATGTTAATGGCCTTATAATTAATGTTTCTGTGTTAAGTTTGCAAATATTTTAGTAATTTTTTATTTTTTTTTTAAATATGCAGCTTTCATTAAGATAATGCCTTTGATGATCCTGCCATGAAGGCCTTTGTTCGGGCTCTTCCTGTTATAGGGTGACAGTGCTCTGTCCATGTCATTGTGCTCCTGCATTGTCACCCTGTCACAAAGGCTTCCAATGGAGACTATAAGTGGCCTTTTCAACACACATTATGCAGACTTGGTCCACCTGTTGTCGCCATCAGGAAGCCCGTCCTGCTAAATACAATGCAGTCATCACTAGAATACATGCATGCAGACAGGAAGTGGCTGCAAAAGGTCAGCAGTGCTGAGATGCAACAATTGATGTAAACCTTTTTTTATAAATAAGAAGTGCACATGACTGCAAAGCTGTCTTAAAACTGAAGGCGCATGTCTCATTCCAACCCCCCCCCAAATAGGATAGTGAGCCATGCACATCATTGCTTTACGTCCCATTGGCCAGATGCACATTCACAGATTCACAGCTGGTGTTGGTAGTTGGTAATGGTACACCGTCATTTTATATGGATGTGCACCTACTTGAATCCTATGAGAAGCCATGTTTGCACATATCCCAGCCACTTCTTCCTGGTTAGTGGTACTGCACACTGATTTTTTTCACTGCTCCTCTTTTGCAATACAAGTCTACTATTCAGATCCAACCTGAAACCACCAGGCTTTGCATCAGGCTGAGTTTATATAAAGTCATTCGAGCAGGGGTAGGTAACTTTAGCACTCAAGCTGTTGTGGAACTACAAATCCCATGAGGCTCCGCAAGACCCTGACAGCCACAGGCATAACTCCCAAAGGCATGATGGGGTTTATAGTTTCACCACAGCTGAGTGTCAAAGTTGTCCACTCCTGCGTTAGAGGTTCCCATGAACATTAGAATCAACAGACACAATGTGACTGCTCTGGGGTACCTGTATCTGCTGGCACATCACTAGAAGTGAATGTTTGGCTTAGCAGAGGGAAACGGAAGAGACACGCATCTCCTAATGCTAGCTTATTGGAACAACCATCAGAGTGATCTAACCCTTCATGTACCATTTCCCATAAAAGTGGATAGCCAACAGTGTCTGATGATACTCCATAGATGTATAATCGTTGCCTGAGAGGTCTCTTCACTTCGACACTTGTAATGGTGGCTACCCAGACAGGAAGTAAGAATCTTCCCGGCAGGGAGTCACACACTAGGAAACACTTGACAAATGTTCCACTCCTTCTCCCCCACTCCATACAGGAGCTAAAATATGACTTTTAAGGTGAATAATTCTTATGGTTGAGTTGTATTTAGAAGATCTCATTTTTGCATAATGTAGCTGTTTGACTTGTTATTTCTGAGAGGTTGAACATTGTTTATTTGATCATTCATTTATTTACTTCATTTTTTTTTCTCCAGCTAATGAAGTCATTCAGTATTCTACTACGGCATCACGGGCCTGATTCCCCAAATGATGTATGACCGCCACATCAGCCACGTACACCATTGCCTCCCCCTGGCGCATCATCTCCTCAGCTTTGCCGGGGAAGCCCCCGATAGGTTTAGCTTGCACACCCGATTCATCCTGGAACTGGACTTTCAATGGACATGCCATGGTGACATGAAGAGGATGAGTTAAGGGTACTTGAAACAAAACAGAGGTGTCTGGGCTTGTGTTTGTGAGTGCTTGTGCCCGCTCCCTCTGGGAAGGTGCAAGGACCATGAGCTTGTCCCTGAAGCCACGCAGGTTTGGGAGGCCATTAAGCCCACAACTGGTTCTTTTCCTTCTTTTTGCCTTCTGCCTTCTTAGTGTTTTCATCTCAGCCTATTACCTGTATGGCTGGAAAAGGGGGCTGGAGCCTTCTGGCGGCGACGCACAATCCTTGGACTGCGATGAACCTAAAATCAGCCCTTCCCGTCTGCTCCCTGTGAAGTCTATGAGATCGGTGGATTCCTCACGTACGGACCCGCTGGTGCTTGTCTTTGTGGAGAGCCTCTACTCCCAGCTCGGCCAGGAGATAGTGGCTATATTGGAGTCGAGTCGTTTTAAATATCGGACCGAGATAGCCCCTGGCAAGGGTGATATGCCCACTCTCACTGATAAGGACAGGGGGCGATTTGCACTAATTGTGTATGAAAACATTCTGAAATATGTTAACTTGGATGCATGGAACCGAGAGTTGCTGGACAAGTACTGTGTGGAGTATGGCGTGGGGATCATTGGCTTTTTCAAGGTAAGTGTGTCCTGGACACATGGCAACTTTCAGGGATTTGATGACTTGCCGTGTTATTTTAAAAGTATTTATACTCTGCTGTACCGTTTTCTTGCTTCTAGCTAATTTGTCGCTTAAAGAGGTGCAAGTACTCCCTTGACAACAAACTGTTTGGATGACAAGCACCAGTCTCCGAATAGTGAGCAGTTGAGGCTTTAATGAAGTGCACCATGGAAACAGTTGTCAAGGGATGGCTTGAAACTGCTGCAAAAGACTACATCGCTAGCAACATGCAGATGGATGTAGAAAACCTGTTAAGGCATGATTCATTTTATAGGTAATTTCAATTCATAGGGGGCAGAGTATGTTCTGTACTATTGTACAAGCCTAGGTTAGCTCAGCAAACACAATTTTACGTATACATGTTCCTGGTCAACCCCACCCTTCCTTCACTACTTTAGTTATAGATCCGGAGCAAGTTTACAATAAGTGAAGTCGGAACTTTTGACCTGAATGCTTGTTGCCAGTGGTGTAACAATCGGCATAGCGACCCAGGCGGCCGATATGGGGCCCGGGGCACAGGGGGGCCCGGCTGTGCGGGCCGCCCGGGTTGCTATGGCATCTAAGGCTGCTGGCGGTCACCCCCGGGTGTGAGGAGCAATGTGTCAACCTGTCAGTGATCTGTGCAGCGGCACTTTCCTCCTCACAGCCGCTGCTGAGTCAGTGACAGCCAGCGGAGGAGGAGGAGGCTGGGCCCAGTGTCAGCAGTGAAGGAGGGGGCGGGGCCCAGGGACGGAAGAGGAGGCGGGGCCCGGCGACGGAAGAGGAGGCAGGTAAGAGGTGTGCCAGCCCACCTGAGACCCTGCAGAGCCCACCATATAAAGTCTATGGTGGGCTCCGCGGGGTCACCCTATGGTGGGCTGTGTGGGATATCAGGTGGGCTCTGCAAGGGGCATAACTAAATATCACAGGGCCCCATACAAAATTTTGCTATGGGGCCCTGTGATTTCTAGTTACACCCCTGCTTGTTGCTCTATCCTGACAGGTACCCTTTTAAAGTGTTACATCCTTAAAGGAGTTGTCCCAGCATATATATTATCCTGTTATAACATCAGCATTGCAATAGGAATGTATACTTTAGTTGTTTATGGTGGAAAGTGCAGTTGGCCTTGTCGACACATTATGCAAGCAATGTTCACCATTGTCACTGTCAGGAAGCTAGTGCAAAGCAATGGTGTGCAGTTGACACTGGATGAGTGCATGTAGACAGGAAGTGCATGAGAACAGCAACACTGAAATGCAAAAAAAGATGAACGCTGTTTTTGATTATTAAAAAAAAAAGTGGATTATTCAATGCGCAATGCTTTAGCAAACGAAATGCTATTCATTTAGTTCATTTTCATTCATATTCATTGGGGTTACATCTACTTTAAAGCAAACCCATGCTTTGCCCATGTCGGCCATGACAACAGTTTTAGTTTAATACCTGTCTGGTCCACCAGCAACACATACCTTTTCTTCTCCAAGTTGCGTCGGTGAGCTGTTGTATAGGCTTGAGCCAAATTTTCCCCTTAAACTCCTCTTTCCATCTCTAGATCATGTCTCCACATTTGTGTTGCTGTAGCGTGAAACAGCTTCTATTTAATGATGTGCCAGGGCTTGATGTGAACCCAGTTTGCTCAAGCCCTTGCAAAAACTGTAACTCACACCCCCTCTTGACCCAATCAGTTACGGCAAGAGGAGTCACCGCCTCTTTGTGACATGTGTGGCGGGGAATACCTCGGCCACAACGCATTGGGTTGGGGGAGCTGTCAGTCACAGTTTTGCATGGACAAACTCAGGCAAACTGGGTTCATACAAAGCCCCCACACATCACTACTGTTATGTCCTTTGACATTACCAGGCTTGTAAAATTCTTGCAAGGCCATGTACAGGGAGGAGCAATCAGCAGGGTTCCCTATGTCGGTTCCTGTTGATCTAGGCACAGCCCCAGAAAACTACATCTCCCAAGAGCCCTTGCTCAAGACAGTCAAGTCTATCATGGTTTTGCTAGATAAAAAAGTGTGGAGAAGAGGCAGAGTTCTGTAGTCCAGCTTGGCAGGGCTTGCAACGTTGATTAGGATTTCAGGCCAGCAAAGGCGTCGTGTTGTCAGCGCAAACAGGAAGATAGAAGCACTGCAAGATCAACAAATATTTTTTTTGTGCTACCAGAATTTTTAAAAGCATAAAACAGAGATATATTAAATATGTTGTTATTTTGTCCTGACTTTAAAATGTCTCTCGATGTGAACAAAAAAAAAATGCATTCAGTTTGTTACTCAATGTCAGGTAACTTGTTTTCCACAATAGACAAACCCAGAATTTGATGTTAGTCCAAAATGTGTGTCCGTTTTTTGTTTTTCTCATGTTCTGTGACTTTCAAAGGCTGATAGCCTGGGATCCCGAAGCCCTTGGAAGTTTGCTTTCTAAGAGCGCTGACATGGTTTCCTGAGTGAAGGCTGACTCATGCATTCTCTTTCCACGCCATCACAAGATGCATCTTATTAGGCCGGTCGAGTGGCCGTAATCCTCTGACAAAGTTGTAAATGAGCCATTGTTCTTGGCAAAGGGCCTTACTGGACATCTCCTTTCAGCTGATGTTTCTATTCAGAAGATTTCCCTTTCTTTCCCTCCCAGTCAGCTGAACAACACTCGGTCTACTACGTATAGCTTACGACTGTTGGGTTTGTGTCATTTTCAGTGAAACTTTGATTGACTAGAATACTTTTTCATTAGCAAATGCTTCAGTCATAATGGCAAGAAGGTTTAGCCTTTGATCAAGTGGCAAATGTTTAGAACCCCTGTCAGGTTTTTATTGCTGACTGAAATATTTGCTGGGGATTTCTCCTTCCTGCTCTGGTGATTGTTGCCACCTTGAACAGCCTGTGACCCCATGGTGAGATTTCCCTTCCTGTCCCAGGTATTGGTTCCGCTTAGAACAGAAAGTTGGTTTTATTCTGCAGAACAATGACACAATAACACAATTACACCTACACCAGTGTAGGGTGGCCGTACGCTTACTCAACCTGCACGTCCGTGTGGGTGTCCGTACTCGTACGCTGACAGGATGGATCCCGTACGCGTTCGTGCAGTGGCACCCACACGAGGTTGGATGAGCGTAGGGCGGCGTATTGGCCCCATACTCCCATAGAGAAGGACAGGCCACTGCGTATAATCACAAGCAGCACCTGTCCTTCCCGGGAGCGGCCCAATATCCAGACGTGCACGCAGCTTGGATCTGTACGGGCCGGCCGTTACCCGTGTGAATGAGGGCAAAAACTACAGCTGGTGCCTAACTTTTAAAGAGGAATGCCAGGAATTACAAACTAACCCTTTCAGGGGGGTTACCACCTCACTGCAAGGGTTAAGTACTCGCTTTGTCTAAGGGACTTAAATAAAGCAGATATACTCACGCGATTCTCGGTCACACCTGGCTGCTAGACTGGTCCCTGTTGCCTTTTCTTCCCTGGGCTCCAGCCGTCTAAGGACCCGTGACTTCATCATGTCTAATACAGTCCATTGACTTGCATTGGACATGAGGACAGTGAGGGACATTCCAGAGCGGGAGCAGAGGGGAAAGAGGTGAGCTCTGACTGCCGCAAGACCTAGGATCAGGTGAGTATATCTTTAGTTATGCCCCTAGACCAAAACAAGCTCTTAAATCTTGCAGTGTGGGGGTAGCCCCCTGAAAGGATAAGTTTCATAAAATCCCAGAGTTCTTAAAGGAGAACTATGAGATGAGTGATTTCCACTCACCTCATAGTTCTAGCCGACCTGTGACAATGTGACTGTCACTGGTCGGCTCAGTAGATCGGGAAGTGAGCGAACACATACCGGCGTTCGCTCACCTCTCGATCCTGTCACGGCTCTCTACCGGGACAGGGGAGGGGCTGGATTCCCCCCTCCCCGCTCCGATCCGCCAGCGCTGACTGGCAGAATGGACGGGAGAGGTGGCGGGTACAGCTGGCTCTGCCTCTAGATAGGCAGAGCCAGCTGTCACTCACGCAGCTGGGCGCATCCCGGCATAATTGTCGGGATCCGCTTCAGCTGCGGCGTCTCAGTATACCGCAAGCAGCATCTCGCGGTATACTGAGCCTAGGGTGACGGGAGGACGCTAGTTTGTGTCCTCTCGTTACCCTAAGGAGAACTATGGGGAAAAGCCTTAACCCCATAGTTCTCCTTTTAAGATTTGGATAGTGTAGGGAAGGATTAGAACCCCTGTTACATTTTTTTTTTTTATTGTTCTCCATGTCCTAGGAAGGTAGATTCACACTCTATGTGCCCTTATAACACTGTCACCAAGACAGAAAGTGATAGGAAATCCAAAATACAGGAAGTAAAGGGAAAAGTTCCAATAGGGACACCTTTTTAAAGGTGTGAATTCCCCTCACTTTTTAGAGATTTCCTTTCACATCCTGTTGCATCTGTGGGACAGGAAATGGTGCTCTGTCCCCCTTCACTCTCCATAGGAGATTATTTCAAATTCAACTGAAGTGGGGTTACAAGTTAAAGTGTTTTGGTGTGCCTTGGCGACATCTGGTGCTGCAGTATTTAGATATATGCATACCTGTCTGCCTTTTGATGTCTATGGGCAGCTTTTGTCACATGTTGCCAGACCACCAGCTACAACTCAGGAAAATTCCTAACAAAGAGCAAGCACCACTGAAGCTGTTTAGTTTTCTCCCTGATTGAAACTCCATATAGCTTAAAGAAGAACTCTTTAAGTGCTCATAAATGCTTGTTTTGTTCAGGGGGGCTCAAATAAAGCAGATATAATCACTTCATCTTCTGTCCTGCTGGGTTGCTAGACCAGTTCCCACAGCCTCTTCTTACCCCAGGGGGGGGTCCAGCAGTCTAAGGATCGCTGACATCATGACAGGGGAGGGGCTGGATTCCCCCCTCCCCGATCCGCCAGCGCTGACTGGCAGAACGGACGGGGAGGGGGCGGGTACAGCTGGCTCTGCCTCTAGATAGGCAGAGCC